CCTAGGCAAGTTTATCATTAGTACCCACTCTGGCCAGTAAGTTGACACTGACCTGAATGACTTCCAGGGCCAAGATGGTATCACTGGTCACTTTAGCTACAGTCAGGGACAAATTGTGCATCACTGTTTCTAATCAATGACTACCATCACAGGGATAACTACCCACAGAGTCCACCTAAATAATGGGTCAGGTATCGGTCCAGCAAGCTCCCCAGGGTAACTCAGGATAGCCTCATTTCAGTGAGGTCTCCACAGTTGTCTGTGGGCTGCCCAACCTACTGGTGGTATTTGTTTAAACACTTGAAGGGGGAATTCCCTGGCGGTCCAGTGGTTAGGACTCTGCGCACTCAATGCCTAGGGCCCAGGTTCGATCCCTGGTCAGGGAACTAAGATCCTGCAAGCCACGGCACAGTCACAAAAAAAAAAACCAAACCAAAACAAAACAAAACAAATAAACACTTGAAGGTCTGTTATAACCACCATAAAGATGCAAGACACTGTTCAGGGAGGTTGGTGAGTTCATGCATGGCGTCCACACAAGTACAGTCATCAGGGCACACATGGTGCCCCTAGAAAGAAAGTGTTATTTACAAGTGTTGGGGTCCCCCAAGAGGGACCTCCATCCGTCAAGACAGAGGTTGATAATGCCTCTAGTGTGGCCTCCTGGCCAGCTGGTAGGCCTTTGGGTTCCCAGTTGAGTTTGAATAATTGAGTCTGGTCCTTGTGTTTGGAAGGACTGCCTGAGGGCAGTCATCCAATCTATTCTGTTTGCCCATGCCGCCAGCTGGGTGGCATTCTTCTTCCCCACAGGGTGACTGAGTGAGTTCTATGGGAATGGGGGTTGGGAAGGCATCTGGTGGTACTGCAGGAGTTTTTCCTGGAAGATACAGGAGCCAACCACATCCCCTGCATTTCCAATGGACTTCTGGTGAGGTTAACAGGAATCGCACTGTATTCAAAACCATCTGGTCAGGAAGAGGGCAAACCCTGTTACATTTAAGGTGCTTGCAGAAGTTTGGGAGAACTGCACCAGGGCATTTTTTTGGAAGGCTCCAGAGGCAATTATGAAAGGCAAAGATCATTCGTGATTAATGCCTCTCTCTACCTATCTCCTGGGATCTAAGGTGTTTCCTACCTAGGGGCCAGAGTTGCTGCTCCCCCTCCAAAATCAGCATAGCTAAACTCCAGTAGCTAAAATGTCACCTGTTAAATTTTTTCCCCCAGTTTTCTCCTTCTCAGACCAAAACCTTTTGTTTGGAAGGGTCAGGTACAAGAAGAAAAGGACATTTTTATAAAATGCAGAGAGACCCAATATATTCCCCACTTTGTCCCGCATGGGCCGCCGTAGGGGTTCTCCTCGAGCAATGTCCTCACCCAAGTGGTTGCGGTCCTTGTGATCTAAGACCATGCCAGTCCATCAAGAGAATCAAAGTGGCTGAACCAGAATCAAGTTTGAATCCCTAGGCCCCCTTTTGGCTTGGCTTTCACCTAGAAAATGTGCCAACCAGGCCAGCCCAGAGCTGCTCTCAGGGGAAAGAAAGAAGCAAGGTGTCCAGGAATAGTCAAGTCTGAATCCCCAAATTTCAAAATAGGTCCTTATGACCTTCTTACCACTTTCATCCAGATGTCCCCAGGAAGTGGCTTTTCTAGGGACAGGTGCGTTCAATGACCAAAATGCTTTACAAAAGTGTGTGGACCAGGAGGCAGTGAGGGAAGTAGAGCCAGAAACCTTTTTGTGTTGATTTTTGAGGAGGCATTCCAGTGTTGAATGCTTCCAGATCCCTGTGGTTGGATGGCAGGGAGTGTGGAGGGTCCACAGCATATCTTGACTTCTGCTCATTGTTGATTAGCTTTTGTGATGAAAGGTACACCTTGTCAGACTGCAAATGGCCCCAAAAGCCAAAAACACCACACAGATTAGTTTCAAGGGCCACAACGGTGTGCCCAGAGTTGGCTGATTGGAACGGAACAGCAACTCCATAACCCTAGAAAGTGTCAACCGTGATGAGTCACCATGAATAGCCCCGAGAGCAGGTGGGAGGTATGATGGAGTCAGAGGTGTGCTGCCCGGGCAAGGTGGGCAAGGTGACCTCCTTCCCTGCAAGAGAAATGGGCCAGCCCTTGGCAGGAATCACAACTCCAGCATGCAGTGGTGGCCTCCACATCAGAAACCATTTTTCCTTTGCGCCAGGTCCAAGGTGGTGGGTGTGTTGTCATACCCAGCCCAGTGATGAATCCAGGTGGCAATCAGGTGGCACAGGGGTGCAATCACCAGCCTTATCCCAGTTGGTCGCATCAGAGAACAGGCTTGGGCATCCACATGAGTGATCTAGACAGTTTGAAGTTTGCGGGGTGGCAGACCCAACAACAGCCCAAGAGCCAGTAAAAACACATCAGGGTTTACCAAGTGGAGGATTGGCCTAGTGCATGAGAATGGCCTGGGATTCTCGCACTGAGCAGAGGACTCACATCCATTTCTGGTTCTGGGCCGTGCTGCTGAGGGTAAACGGCAGAGCAGCCAGTGGGCACCACTGGATTTCAGCTTAGTCGACCCATTGGTGAATAAGACCCAGGCATTTGGGGGAACTTGAGGTCACCATAGAGCCAGTGGCTTTGCTTTGGTAGAAGGAGTTGGGGATGTAAGTCCCCCTGGAGGATCAGCTGCCAGTTTTTTCAGGTAAAGCTGAGGTGTCCCTCGGGCCAGGGGAAATCCATGATGTGGGTCCCTGGATACTGCAGCTGGGGCAGGTTGGACGGAGGTGAGTCAGAGGAGAACAGGATCTGTGCTCCTCCAGAGCGTTGGGGCCACACGCCAAGCTCCCTACCTGGAGACAGGACCCCCGGGACCAGTGCAGCCCAGCTCTGGCTCCAGAACTCAGAGTTCAGTTCCTGGCTGTGCTGGCACGGCTCACTCCTGCAGGGCCACTGGTCTGCTTCTGACTGTGACCTGGGCCAAGGGTTGGGAAAGCAGCAATGATGGGTTTGGGTCAAGCTCTGTCCATAACTCTTTGAACGATGACCTCGGGCCAGTCACTCCCCTCTCTGGGCTGCAGTCTCCCCACTGGACTAGACCAGTGGTTACCCAAGGATGGGCATGTTTCACAGAATACCAGTGTTCCACAGAAACAAACTCTGTGGGAAAGCAGTTTGGGGAAACCCTAAACGAACGGGGTCACCCTGCCGCAGGATTATAGAGTCTTTTCTGCACATCCTAAATCTCTGGGCGGGGGCTGCAGCATGCGGTGTTTGCCAAGCTGATCTGACCAGGGCACCCCGTCATATAGAACTTCTCACCATTAGTATTCTGAAGGGCGTGGCTCAGGACACGCTAGAGAGGATTGTCTCCGGAACGTTCCTAGCTCTGGTCTATGGGACATCTAGTGATCCTTGCCTCCTGGTGTTCACGCTTGCTCTCATGCTCTCGTGCTCTTGTTCTCTCCCTCCCTCCTTCCCTCCCTCCCTCTTATTACCTCCTGTCATGTCATGAGGATGCCCAGGCAGCCTGTGACCAGCAGCCCTATGAGTGAGCTTGGAAGCAGATGCTTCAGCCCCAGTCCAGCCTTGAGGCAATTGCAGCCCTGCCCAACAGCTTGAGAGACCCTCATGTAACCCCATGAGCGACCCTGGGCAAAAGGCGCCAGCTTACCTGCACCCAAACCTCTGCTTTGGTCTGGCCCCTTGGCTCCCAGTGGGGCCCTTCCCAGGAGTCCTCAGCCTGTCCCCCACCATGCCCCCAATCCACATGCTCTGGGCAACGTACTCCACCCAGGACTCACCATGCCCCGCCCTCCCCCCCCTTTGGTCCCTCCTGCTTCAATGCCTCCCTCATTCTGTCATTTTCCTCCCATAATTGTATTCAGGGGCCACTCAGAGGCCCCAAACCAATCACTCCCATGCCTGTCCCGACCCATGATATGTCCATTCAGGATGGGCTCCTTCTCCCCGGATGGGCAGGGCTCATGCTCAAGTGCAGAGGGGTGCGCTCCCTGCCAGGGCTCACATGCTATTGGCTACACTCATAGGAGACCTGCCCTGCTGCCTGGCACACTAGCTGGGCACACTGACCTCAGGTGGTCAGCTCCCTGACTGAAGCTGTGTCCAGAGGGCTGTTCTCCAGTTTAGAGACCTCTGTCTCCACAATGTGGGGCTTGGGGAGGGGCCGAGCAGCAGTCAGCCAGCATGAGAGCATCGGCCGGAGACCAGGACCTACAGGCTCCGGCTCCATCAGCTCTCTGTAGGACCTGGGGCAGGTCTGAGGATGCCAGATAAGGCAGGATTTCCAAACACTTCCTTTTTCTGTAGATTTTTTTTTTTTAACACTTATTTATTTATTTGTTTATGGCTGCGTTGGGTCTTGGTTGCTGCACGCGGGCTTTCTCTAGTTGCGGTGAGCGAGGGCTACTCCTTGTTGCGGTGCACGGGCTTCTCACTGCGGTGGCTTCTCTTGTTGAGGAGCACGGGCTCTAGGCACGCGGGCTCAGTAGTTGTGGTGCACAGGCTTAGTTGCTCCGCAGTATGTGGGATCCTCCTGGACCAGGGATCGAACCCATCTCCCCTGCATTGGCAGGCGGATTCTTAACTACTGTGCCACCAGGGAAGTCCTTTTCTGTAGATTCTTATCAAGCAAAATGCCAGTCCAGTAGCCAGCAGATAAGGGTTCAGGGTGCAGGGAGGGCAGTAGCCCTGCCCTCTGAACCCCCCATGCCCTCCTATGGGCCCCACTGTCCCCCCATTCCTCCCTCGCCCTCCCAGGTCCTCCTCCTGCCCACAGCTATGCATCATCCAGGCCCTCTCCAAGACCCATGGTCAAAGTCGAGCTGAGCTCCGAGTCTCTTCCACCTCCAGCACCGCTTGTGTGAGCCTCCACAGGCACTGGAAAGGATGCAAGTCTGAGAAGCAGGAAGCTATTCCAGTCCCAGCTAAACCCGCTGTGGCAGGTTGAGGGCTCAGGTTCCCACGCACTGGTGCTGAGAACCCGGGGAGAAGACAAGAATCACTCATTTCGCAGTGAGGATAACATTTACTGAGAATGGCTCATTACAAACAAAATATATGTATAAAATCTCTGTAATGCAAAAGATCCCTTTTGTCCCCAGGTGGCTGGAGTGAACAGAGCCAACTGTCCAGCGTGGCCCCCTGTGTGTGGCCAGGCGGTTGTGGTGCCACGTGCTGTAGGCAGAGTTCCCGATGTCTCGGCTCTATCTCCAGCCCCATTTTCATGATTTGTGCGGGAACACGACACAATGAGGTTTGTGTTCTGCCTCTATGACCCTCCCCAGGCAGGTGGCACCACCCCAGGGGCAGGCAGCTCTTGTGAATCTTCCAGACAGGTGACCCCTAACCTGTGCTTGCCCTGAGAAGCCCTCCTCCAAGCCCAGGGATTGAGTGTCTCTGACGGACAGAGGTGCCGTGACCGCTCTTTGTGGAGGCTGCTCTCTGTGCCAGCCTCACTCACAGGGAGCCATCCTGAAAGCTTCACTTCCTCTGTTTCCCTTGACGCATATGCCCTCACCAGTGTTACCCGGACCCCTCCTGAGCACACCCAAACCCAAAGCCACCACGCGTGGTACTCCTGGGCGTTGGACAGCGCTCCCTGGGATCTTGGGCCACCTAGCATTAAGGCAACAGACACGAGGCCAGTCTGCAGGCAGCACTAGTCTCTGAAACCCAGGGTGGCTGCCCAGCCAACAACGCCTCCCTCTTGGTCAAGGCCGTCTGGTGTTGAGAAACAATGTGGTTAGGTGGTCTGACAGCCCTTGTCAGCAGAGCCCACCCCTGCCCCTCAGAGTAGCCATGGCTCCATGGGGGCAGACGCGGAGCATGGCCATGGTCGGCAGTCTGAGGGAGGGGCAGCAGCTGCCCCACATCATGCCTTGGGCACCGGAAGACCGAGATGCAGGGTGCTGCAGCGGTGTGGCTGTTGGGGCATCCCTACGCCACTAGCCAGAGGCAACCCGAGGCGTGGGTGTCCCCAGCCCTTTTGGGAATGATCCATTGTCCTTATTTTTCAGGTGCAGACCCTGGTTCAAGACCCAGCTCCACCACTCTCCTGGGCCAGATTCTGTCCGTATGGTGAGAGGCCCCTTTGATAGAGAACTTGGGCTGGCTTACCTGTCCTGTGAAGAGAGGTGTCAGTGGTTCCAAAGTACCTACAATCTCACTATTATTGTCTTACTTGAGGTTGAGTCTCACCCCCATAAAGTGAAAACTTAAATCTCAAAAACACCACCCTCCCCCTCTCAAAAAAAAAAAAAGAAAAAGAAAACAGCTCTAATCCATGCTATGGTGCCGTGCTGTGTGATCCTGGGTAGGTAACACCCCTCCTGTCAGACAGAAGAGACCCAAAGTTCTGTGCAAAAGGTCCTGATGTGAACACCAGGGTGGGTGGTGGAGGGTCACAGTACCCCCCCCTCCCCCGACACAGCCACTGATCAGCCATGCAGGCCCAGGGCCCCAGCAACCAACCCTGCGAAACTTGGGGTTCCCCGCCCTCAGACGCGAGCCCCGTTGCCTGCCTAGTCAGGAAGCCTTGTGGGTGTGAGCATCTTTGGGGCCCAGGCAGCTATTCCTGGCCCTCGGGGTCAGGCATTGTGAGCACTGCTGGCCAGCAGGAGCCAGGGTCCCACCTGCAGCCCAGGTTTCCACCCCAAGGAGATGGAGTACCTGGAGGGCCGCAGGGGCCTCAGAGTCATTTCTGCCTGAGGTCCAGCCCTCCCCAGGGGCCAGAAGCCTTGCAATCAGCTGCAGGAACTGGTCCCACTGGGAGGTGGGAGGGGGCGGCGGCATCCACCAAAGGGCCCAGGGGGGTCTGCAGTACTTCCAGGTCCCTGCAAGGCTGGAGCAGTCCCAGCCCCCGGGGCCCAGGCCACCTACACAGTCTCCAAACAAACAGACAAGCAACATCTCTCTTCAGGGCTCATTCACCAGGTCTGTGGTGAGATGGGCTCAGGCTTCTCCCTCTGCCCTGGGTCTGGCTCACAGGCAACAAGGGCACCCGTAGGGGTGGATGTCCCCTGAGCACAGCTGGAGTCAGCCTCGGGGTCCTGGGGGAGGCTCCACTCAGATGCTCTGGGGATGAGCCAGCAACCAGCAGGAGTGCAGGGTAAGCGGCATGACGGCTCAGCGCTGGTGGATTAGGCAGGTGAGACTCGGCCTCCTAGACTCCCTGGGGTTTGGTCACATGAGCCGGAGCCACAGTTCCACATCTGAGCCCTGGCAGCCCCAGACCTGGGCCAGGGCCTCCTAAGTGGGCCCAGCTGGGGCAGGGCAGGGTGGGGTCCAAGGGCCTGGGCACACCAGGCTCCTGCTGTCAGCTGTCCAAGTAGACAAAGAGGATGTCCTCGTCCGTGCCGTAGCTGGTTCTGGCCTCCTCGAAGTTACTGATGCTGGTGCTGCACATTCCTGCTGGGGCACGAGGGGCAGAGCAGGGTCAGCGGGTGAGGCGAGCACCTGCCTGACTAGCGCCCAGGGAAGCCACATCCCACATGCCTGGCTGCCCCTCCCTGCTCAGGAAGCCCTCCTTGCCTATTGCAGCCTTTGTGAGCTTGTTCTCTGACCTTTCCCCAGTTCAGCAGATGGAGAAAGTGAGGCCCAGAGAGGGGAGGAAACACGCGCGAGGTCGCACGGGACAAGTCTGTGTGAGTCAGGATGGTCCTTCCCCATCCCCAGGGCCATGGGAGCCCTGGGGGGTTCTGGAGCCAGGGCTGGGGCCGGGGCTGGGCAGACTTTCCTTTCTGACAAGTGTGCTGGCTGTCCTCGGAGGGCTGGCCTGGGGGAGATGGAAACTGCGGCCTGTGCAGCTGAGACAGCGGGGTGGGCCCCGGGAGGTGGGAGGGGGCTGGCGCAGTGGGAGGGAGAGAGGGCTGGCCTGTGATGACAGGGGTATGGAGTCTGGCACAGCCCCAAGTTGTGGCTGGTTTCCTGCATGGCCAGAGGGGCGGCAAGGATGAGGGAGTCCAGGGGGAGGAGGGGCTCTGGGGAGAAGGCACTGAGGTAGGTCTTGGCCACACCAGGTTGAATGGGAGGAGACGTGGGGGCCAGGGGCCGCCCTGCCCACTGTTGCCGCCTGCCACACTTACGGTCAGCATAGGCCGGGTTGTTGTAGAAGATGCAGCCAGTGGCCCGGTTGTAGCCGCGCAGCACGATGAAATGGCCCTGGTAGTCGGGGGTGCGGCAAAAGCAGCGGTGGCCACTGGGGGCAAAGCAGCAGTACTTGACGGGGCTGGAGCAGAGGTCGCAGTGCAGCACCCCTGAGTTCACCAGCACGATGGCCACGTGGCCCTGTGCCAGGTGGGCCTGGATGTCCTGCACGCTCACTGTGCTGTGGGCAGGAGGAGGGTCAGCTGGCGCCGCTGGGCCCCATTCCCCGTCTCTCAAGTGGACCCCCACTTGGACCCCTGTCCTGTCCTGTGTCACAAAGCTTGGGGACATGGCTCGTGTCTGCCCTGAGCTCCTTGCAGGTGGGAATGTCCTGCTTTGTTACGGTGGCCCAGGCTCAGATGGGGGCCAAGCATGGGACCAGGGTTGGAGGGCTCTGAGTGTGCCCAGGACAAGCTGGACCCATCAGGCCCTTCACAGGGTGACAGTTCAGCTCCAGACAGACCCCCATCAGGGGCCACTGGAGCAGCACCCCACCTCTTGACCTGGTTAGTGAATTCTTTTGTACAAGCATCCCCTGCCTTGGTCTTTTACCTTAAATGATGCGTGATTAATGTAAACTGTTGGTTTAATTTGCTTCCCAAAATCTGAGTCAAGCACGCCTTCACCAGTTTCAAAACCAAGTGTTTCTCTGAAAGGGTTATTTTTCTTTTTCTCTAAGGCTCCTCGTGGCAGAAGGGGCTTCCCAGGAAGGACTGGTCAGCAGCACATTGAGGGGAACCCTCAGTTCAGCCAGCTGCTCCAGCCTCTTAGGCACAGCCCCCCTCCAATGCCCCCAGAAGGAAGCAAGTCCAAGTAAGACCCAGAGGGGAGAAGGGCTGCAAGGGTCCTCTGCGCCTGGGGCCCCACCATCTTCACGGGGGGACGCCCACCCACTCTGGGCCCTCCATCCTTACAAGCTCCTCAGGAGCACACATTAGCACCTCATGGCCTGGCCCAACTCCAGCCACGCTGAGTCACAGGACCATCTGGTCTGTTGCCTTGGCCCAGGGAAACATGCCCTTTTTCCATTTGGTCTTTGAAATGAAACAGCTGGCTGAGTTGCCAACGGTATGTACCAGAGTGGGATTTCAGCTACCGGGAAAAGCAGGGGCTGGGCTGGAAGGAAAAGGGCAGACTCCATGGGACCCCGGGGGTGCAAGTCCCAGGTTCGAGTCACAGCACGGCTGAGTTGGGGTGGCCATGGTGGCTCACACTGTTTTTCCCATCAGTTTCCTCACCTGTGGGACGGGGACAGCCCCAGCTCTCCACTCAACAAGGAAGCACCTGTCAAGTGCCACTAAGCACACATCGGCTGCCTCTCCCTCCAACATGTGCTCATGGGGCCCGAGGATGTGTGGAGACATTTTCCCTGTTTCCCAGTGGGCTTTCGTGTGCCTAGGTTACGTTACAATGAAAACAGAAATCTGGGGGGAATGGGAGACCCAAGGGAGGTCTGGGGGACCCAGCCCAGGTCTGAGCCAGCAGGCCTGGGCGCATTACCTACAGGGAGCCCAGGGAAAGAAATGGTTCGCATCTGGCCAAGTCGCTCGTGGGGTCTCCTGAGTCCTGCCCCCACGTGTAGATTGAGAAGGGGGATCCACATAAGGTCAAGCAGCCCGTGGGGAGATCTGGCAGCCAGGCCTCCCTAGACAGTGTCACCCTGGGCTGTCCCTGTCACCCTCCGTCACCGTGCCAGCATGCTCCCCAGGCCGTCACCCCTTTATTAGGGTCCCTGTGTTCTGTCCCATGCCACCATTCTGTGAGCAGCCCGAAGGCTGGCTGGAGTCTGTCTTGCTCACCTGTCCCTCCATCCCCCACTCAGGATCTACCCCAGGCCAGAGTTTTGTGTATAGTAGGTCATGTAGCCCCACTTGTCCCTATTTTATGGATGGAAAAACTAAGGCCTGGGGAGGGGGGGCAAGTCAGTCAGTGCCCAGGGCCAGCTGGGTAGGAAACCCCAGTTCTGCCTGACTCCCCAGCCTTTCCTGAGGCCTCCCCCCAAGCTGCAAGTCTGTGGGTGAGCAGGTGCACAAGGAAGGGCAGGGGCGGGGTGGGCTCACCACTTCTCCACCAGCACCTTGCAGGCCTTCGCTTGTGCGAACAGCTGGTTCACCCGGGTCTCCTCTGTGTCGAAGTGCTTCCTGTAGAAGGACTGAAGAGAGAAGGGCAGTTGGAGAGGCCACTGCCCTCACCCCACTTGGATGAAGTAAACAGCACCTTCTGGAGTTAGCAGAGGAGCCCAGCCTGCAGGGGGACAGCACAGGCAGCATGCCTGGGTGGAAGGCTGTGTCTGTCCCAAGCGGGCAGGGCGGCTGGCCGGGAGTGCAGGACCACACAGAGAATGAGGAGGATGCTCAGGAGATGGGTGGGCAGCAGGCTCAGGCTGGCACCCTGAGGAAGGTTAGCCACCCCTGGGCTTGTGTACCCTGATGGGCAGGAGTCTGGAGTAAATGAGCAAACGGGCCGGCTGAGGCCCCTGGATATCTAGCCGCCACTCGGCTCAGCCAGTATATGTTAGCAAGGAACAATCTCTTTGGTGCAGGGGTCTTAAGGGGGCCAGAGCCCCTGTGGGGGAGGCAGAAAATACCCTGCTCTTAGGCCCTTTCCTCTGCCTCGCGGCCACGCTGACCAAGCCAGATCTGTCAGCCTTCTTCCCCTGGCCTAGAAGGTTCAAAGGAGAGTTAGGTTGACGGGCACTGGCCACCGTGCGACAACCCTCTTGCCAGCGAGGCCAGTAGCGACTCTTCTCTGCCAAAGTTTGGAGCATGGGCCGTGATCCACTCTGCGGGAGGCAGGTGAGACCAGCTCCAGCTGTGCAGGGTGGGAAAATGCACTGGGGTATGGGAAAGGCTATGCTGGCATTCTTTTTAAAAAGAAAAATAAAAGAAACAAAAGACAGTATATTGTTTTTTCTTCCAGAACACCAATGACCCAACTTGGAGCCAGCTGTCCCCATGAGAAGGAAGAAAATCGGTGAGTGATGGTAGAGGAGGACAGTGTGTGCTCTGAGGCCTGGCCCGGCTCATGCTGGGACACAGGGAAGGACACAGGAAGGTCACCCGGACGCTCCTCTGTGCATCGTCAGGTGCTGTCAAAGGCAGGCGGCGGGTGTCTGTGGTGGGGGTGTCAGGAGGGACCCGGCTCACCACTGGGGTCCTCTGAGCAGCTGGACCCAAGGTGATCTGGTCCGACAGCTCACAAGTTCTGCCCTTAGCGCGTCTGCCTTGGTTCCCTGGTCTCTGCACACCGGGTGCTCACCTGGGTGTCCAGGTCTGGACCACACCCTCCTCTGATCACCACATCTGGTGAAGGCCAGTGGCCGGCGCTCACCTGGTTCTTGTAGCCCTTGTCCACGCCCAGGGTCTGGGTGCAGAAGCGATGCCTCACGCCAAAGTGGCGCATCAGGTAGGCCAGGTCGATGGTCCAGATGCTCCTGGTCAGTCGCAGCTCCTGCAGGGCACTTTCGAATTCACTGTCGTCCAGCTGGCCCAAGTAGCTGTGGGCAGATGGGCTGCTGAGGTCAGGGAAGCTGGCCCGGGTCACCCTCTACCCGAGGGCCTGCCAGCCACTGTCTGAGTTCCTGTGCCCCCATAAGGCTCTGTCCTTTGTCATGAACTCCTACGTCCTGCCCACACACTGCCAGGCACAACCTGAGGCTGCTGGGGGCACTGCACCGGCCACGGAGTCCAGGGCCTGGATTCTGCGTCTGACCTCTCTTGCTGGCTGTGACTTTGGTCAAGTCTTGCCATCCTCTCTGGCCTCGCCAGCTTCATCTCTAGGACCATCTAAGTGCTTGGACCACATCAGTAGTTTTCTAAGTTTTAGGCACAGAATCCTTTTCTTGAACCCTATCTTGCCTGGAATTCCAGGAGGTAAAATGGGTAAGGGAGAGGCTGCCCTGGCGTTCTAGGCTGCTGCCTGAAAACTCAGTGACAAGGAGATGGCTATGGTCCCTCCGTGCCCCAGTGGTCAAGGTTCTTGTGATATTCACGCAGCCTCAGCTCAGCGGTCAGCTCCCTAGTGACTCAGTCTCCCAAGAGTCCAAGGCCAGGAGTGGGGAGGACACCACATCTCAATCATGGGGTCACTCTGTGGGCCAGGCCCGGGCACCTGGGACTTCCTGGCCATTCCAGAGCCCTGGCATTCTCAGGACGCAGACCTGGAAGGCCTGGTCCACCATTGCTTGCTTTTGCAGGTGGGATGGAGCCTGGATGGAAGCTGGGCCTCCCACAAGCCCCAACAGAGGAGAGCCACATGGACGATGAATCCCACCCAGGTCTCTCCCTGTGTGCCCCCCCGCAAGAGCAGGTGCTGTGGACCGGGAGGGCTAAGGCCTGCCCACTCACCGCAGCACCATCCTGGAGCAGGCCAGGCCGCAGTCCCAGTGGTAGAGCTGCTGGATAATGGGCACGGGCAGCTGCACGAAGTCCCCTGCAGGGAAACACACGGAGGTCACAGACCCTGGCGTAGGGCCCACCACTGCCCCTCCCACCAAAATCAGCTGCCGCTCAGACCGCGCAACGGCCGTTCAGGGCCAGCGCACAGCCTTACAAGAGGCCCCCAGTCCACTCTCCTCACCACGGCAGCGATCTCCCCGAAATGCCAGCCAGAGCAGGCCAGCCCTACACAAAACCCGCCAGTGGGCCAGCCCCCATACCTCCCAGGACAAGGCCTTCGTGGCTGCTGCTCCGGCACCCTCTGCTTCCTCGCCTCCCCGCATCCTCACCAGCTAACTCCTGTCCACGGACGTCACTTCTCCATGACGACCCCTGTTGTGCCTGGCCCCCGACTCCGTGCATTCCCAGCCCCACAGGCCCCTCTCCAGAGCCCTCTCTGCGGTGGGCGCTCCGAGGAGGCAGGGACAGGGCGGCAGCCGGGAGGCACTCAGCAGATATTCATGTCTGAATTCCTGAGGCCCCTGACTCCACAGCCCCCAGGGCTACAAGGAGGGGACGGTCACGTGTCTGCATGTGGAACGCTACTCTGGACGGAGCAGAAAGGGCCCGACCTAGGCATTCTGGCATTCCAGCCCTGGCTCTGCCACTGGCCGGCTGTGGGCTAGGCCACTGACTCCCTCATGCTGGACAGAGTCTGGCCATCTCTAAAGTAAGGACTTTGGTCTGATTCAGTTGTTCAATCAACAAATAATTCCCAAGAACCTAGTAAGTGCCTGGCATGTGAACCAGAGATGGTCGTGAGTGACACAGACAGGTCCCTGCCCTGGTGGACAGCAAAAACAAGCAGCGTAGGAGAAAAACAAGGGGCCAGGATAGGGGAAGTGGGGGGGGTGTGCCTTAGAGAGGAGAGCCAGGGAGCGCCAGGCAGGGCTGGGGCAGGCAAGCTGGCACGCGGCCTGCAGGACCCTCCTGCCCTGGGATCCTGTGAATCTGGACAGAGCTTAGAGTCTAAAGAACTGGAAGGATTTCTCTCCGGCTGTGAGCACTCTGTTCACTTAGGACGGCCTTTCAGCCCACGTGGTTTCCCTGCCTCAGGGGTCTCCGGGGGACTCTCCTGAACCCACGACTGGTCTGTGCAGAGCTGCCCTGGCCTCCTCCGCGTGCACCAACCAGGAGGGCCACCCATGAATCCTGGAGTCTGTCCTGGCCTTTCAACCTGCTGGTCTTGTCCAGGCAGCCTCTTGCCTGGAGTGGGCCCCAAGCTCCTACTCCCCATGTCTAAACACTCCCCAGTCTCAAGGCCTGGCTCAGATGCCAGCACTTTTGGGGCCTTCCCTGATGCCAGGCTGGCCGTGCCCCTTCCCTAATCTGCACTCTGCCAGGCCAGAGTTCATGCTTTGGCTCACAGGAGGAGACGCTCGCATCGAGCTCATCTGTGCCCTGCTGGGCTGTCACGCATTCCCAGGAGGCAGGGACCCGTGACTGCTCCTTCGCTGCACTGTACTGTCCTCTCTCCTCCTATGCCTCACCTGCGGGGCCCTTGGAAGGCAGGATGGCACGGGTGAGTGCAGGCCACCAGCTGGGTGAGTCACATGGCCTCTCGGTGCCCGCTCCTTTCTCACAGACGCCAGCCCGCAGAGTGCTGTGGGCACCCTGTGGGCACTTGGGGCAAGAATGTGTGCGAAGCCCTTCACAGGCGCTGCCGATGATCTCCATCCAGCTGGGGCCTGGCACACTGAGACCAGGCAGGCTCAGGCTTTGCTCCCTCCTTCCCCGACCCCAGGAGGCTCTAAAAGGAACCCAGGCCATGACTAGAGGCCTTCTAATAGTCCCCTCCACCCACTGCCATGGATTCAGCCCCCAGGGCTCCATCCTGCCTGACTTCTGCCTGTCCTCTGCCCCAATTTCTACGCCCAGCCCCTCTCCTGTTTCTGTACACAGCATCTGGAGGGATCCCTTCCAGTCTCCCACTGCTCTTAGAATAACGTTCTTATCTCTTACTAAGGCCTGTAGGGCCCACCTCACTCACTTCACCTTGGCCCTCACCCCAAGACCTTTATATGTGCAGCTCTGGAACTCTCTTACCCTCAGTACTCAAGTCTTCCCCTTTTTGTCATTCAGGTCCCAGCTCAAAGTCTCCTCCCATGAGAGGCATTTTCTGACTGTACCTTTGGGAGAAGGGGCTCTTCTTCACAGTATTTCCCTGTTTCCTTCACAGTACTTAGCAAAAGTAAAAAAACCAGAAAAATAAAATAAAGCTATCCTGTCTCCCCACTAGGCTGTAAGCTTCCCAAGGGCAGAGAATGTGCTAATCTTGTTCACTGTTATTCCCAGTGCCTAACGTCTGATGCTTAGTAGTAAATCAAACCTTTGCTGGAAAAAAAACGAACTTATTAAGCACCACTGTGTGCCAGGCTCTGGGGACATTACAGGTAACTGAGACCAAGCCCTGCCCTCCAGGTGTTCACATCCTAAAGTAATCCCCCAACGGGCTGAGTGGAGGGAGAAGCCTATGCAGTGTGCTGTCCCCTTGTGGCGGGTGCCTCCCTCTTCAAGAACCCCTCACTGTGGCTTTAAACGGGGCTTTTTGTTTTTCTCTACATGGGCTGTTTAGTCCCCAGCCTTTGCTCTTGCATATCCCTTAGTCCGAAAGGTGGTCTCCCATCCAAATGCTCTGGTCTCTTTCCCTCCCTGAGGCCCTTTATATGGAGGATTGGAGGTGGTGTGTAACTTCCCCACTGGACAGACTGGGAATTCCTCAGTGGCAGGCAGACAACATTTGCCTCCTCCCAACCCTCAGACCACAGCAGGCACACAGACATGCTTGAATCGCAAATGAAAGGAGTTTTTTTCAAAAAGACCTTATCCTTCGAGATACCCAGGCCCACGTGTCACCACAATACTCCCCTTTCCCCCAGGCTTCCAGACTGTGCCCCTCTGTTCACAGCTCCCTCCTTGCTCTGTGGCCTGGGCTCTGACACTGGCTAGCTGGGCCATCTTTGGCCAGGCTTTGACTCTTCCTGTGCCTCCCCTATGCCTAAGCTGTAAACATCGCGGAGGTCGGCGGCTCTCTAGGGCCCTCGGGAACTCTGCTGCCCCTTCTCTTCTTGCCCTGATCTCTAACTCTTTTATCCTTACCCCACCCCCAATGTGGCTAAATGTCCCCACATGGCCATCCCGAATCCTGGCACAAGCAGGTCAGCCAAGAGGGACCCAGAGATACTCCTGTGGGGGGTGATAAGAGTAGGCGAGGCCTTCCAAGCCCAAAGCTGCTGCCAGATGTTGATGCCTGGAGCCAAGGGACTGTCCCACCTGAGAGCTAGGGTCTGCCTGGAAGGTGCTGGCCTGGCTTCAGTTGGCAGCTGTTGCCAAGGAAGGAAGACAGTTCACTGGCCCTGAATACTTAACCCCTCTCGGCCTCAGTCTGCTCATCTGCAAAAGTGCAAATAACATTGGTAACCAACTTTGTCAGTATGAGCATTAAGGAGGCTCTGCATGTAAACAACTTAGCACAGTGCCTGCCCACAGAAAGCTCCCTGTAAACGTGAGTCACTACACCACAGAGGCTCAGGAAAGGCAAGTGTCTGATCCAAGATCACAGAGTTAGGTAATTGGAGGAGTAGGCAGGCAAATCCCAGGGTAGCCCCGGGCCCTACTCCTTGCTGCAATCACAGTGTCCCACTAATGCCTTAGGGTTGGGGTCTCCTGTGCTCCTGACCTCTCCAGTGTGTTGGCACTTCACTTTAGAGTTTACCAGGCCTTTTTCTTTCTCATCAACCCTGTGCCTTAAGCAGAGCAGGAATCACTGCTTTCCCCCTCCCCCACTTAGAAAAGCAAATTGAGGCCCGCCGCACTGAACGGGTCAGTCTGTGTTTCTGCCCCAAAGGAACTCAGGCCACCTGGGGCAGAGGAACTAGAGAGTGAAGAACTGTAGCAAGACAAAACGCTGAGTCTGGAAGGCCAGGGGAAGGTCCTCCCCCATTGCTCTGTACTCCCAGCCAGTTCCCAGCCCTTCTAGGCCTTAACTATCCGAGGGGACAGGATCTTCCAAGCCCCAGGAGGACTTTTCGCTTCTGGGGAAGGTGCCGCTCCTGACTCTCAACGGGTACCCTCCCACCATGACCGCAATCAGAGCTGCCTGGGGTCCCAGCCCAGGGAGTATCAGGAAACCCCAACTAACTGGGGCTGGCGGTGGGGTGGCCAAGGCGGAGTGCACACCTGGCCAGGTTTCGCTCAAAGCTCTACAGCCCGGGCCGCGGCGGCCGTCGGTCCAAGGTCGCGCGGCCGGACCCTGCCCCGCGCTAGGGCGGGGTCCCCCCCTGTTCCCCGGAGTGAGAGCTGAGCCCTCGAGGAGCACTGACCGGGTTCGAGCGGCGGCCCCGCTGCCTCCGCCTCCGTCCTCATGACGCGGGCGGCGGGGGGCTCCCATGGCCCCGGCCTGGAGCCGGCTGCAGTTTCGGCTTTGACTGGGGCTGGAGCGGGACCCGTGCGCGCCGGGTTCCTGGGCAGCCACCGCCAGCACCAGCGCGGCTGGGCCGCCCCAAGCCCCGCCCTGGCCCTTCCAGGCCGCGGCCCGCCCCGCCCCGACTCCTACGCCTCCAGGCCCCAGGGCTCGGGATCTCAGCTCGTCCGGTCGCTAGCGCTCCCGGCTCCCGGGAGCCCCGCCCCTGGCCTCCCGGGCCTCGCACCCCTTCCCCGCCCGGCTCCCCGGAAGCTCCGCCCAGGCCCGGGCGTTCCGCGAACGCGGGCTCCCCAGAGGCTCTTTCCCAAGCAAGCTCCGCCTCTGCCCGGCCAGCTCCTCCGCCAGCCTCGGGCCGAGGCAGAGCGCGGGGCTCCGGGAGACCAAGCCCCACTCTGACCCCCTGGAGGGGCGGTCACAGGCCGCCCCCGCTCCGCTCCGCCCCTGTTTCCCTATCCGTATGGTGGGATACTCGCCTCGCTCTGGGCGCCCCTTACCTGGCGCTGCCGGGTTCTCAAGGTTAGATTGTGAGGGCAGGTCTTGACCCTCGGCCCCACCGCCTCTCGCCCCCGATGCCCACCTTGCCGTCCAGCCCGTCGCTGGTGTGGGGTGCTTGGAAACGCGGCCCCCTTCTGCCCTTGCCGGCCCGAGGGTCGATGTTTCCGGCGGCACCTGGGTCCGGTCATCAGACCTTTCTTCCGGGCCCGGAACTATTATACCAGAGCCCAAGTTTCCCAGCCGGCAGGGTGAGGAGAAAGCAGAGGCGAGACCGCGCCCGCCACTAGGAAAAGGAACGGGGCGGGCCCTGCGCGAGGCATTTTGGGAACGCGTGGTCTTCTGGGAGCGCGGGACCCGCCATTCACTCGCTTCACGGCTTCGCAGTCGCAAGAGTCACCTCCGCACCAGAAAGGAAGAGGAGACCGGAACCGGTGAGGAGAGGCCGGGGGCGGGCGAGGGTAGGCCGAGGTACCTGCGAGGAGCCGGGGACTGGAGGAGGACGCGCTGCCGGGAAGCTTTGCGGGGCTCGGGGAGGGAGAAGAGCGGCAAGCCCGGCCACCGAAACATGAGCGTCGCCTCACTAGCGCCTGGGAGTGAGTTCGTTAGCTTTTCCCCAGAGTACATGCTCTTCAGTTTCTATACCTCTCCAGGCCAGTGTTTTTTGAATCATTCAGGTAATGGTCTTGAGATCATTTCTGACTGATTGCCTCCTTTCCCCAAATCCTACCTGGGTGACCCTTTTCAAAGCCCTTTGCATCTCAGCCTCCATCCCCCTTTCAGACACTGGTCCCCTCATGCTTTCTACACCGTTACACAAGTTTTTATCAAGTTTTCCTGCTTCTAAATCGTGTTCGATTCATTTTGTAAGTGCGGATGCCTTTCCATCGGATAATTCCTATACTGCCGTGGTTCCCCCACTGCGTTCAGCATAAAATCCACACTCCTAAGGCTCCGCACCAGGGGAGCCTGTCTTTCCCAATCTCTCCTGTTCCTTTTCCTCTCTTGACCACACAAGATGTGCCCATCTTGGAACAGAAAAAGTCCACTGCTTTTCCCTTTCAATTAGGTCAAGTCGGGCTCTTGCCCTGATTATGTTTTTCCTCCAAGATAAGCATTTCCTGCTTGTAGCACATTGTCACTTTGTGAACACTTTGCTATTTTCTCTTTATCCTTGATGGTGAAGTAAGTGGAGGGTCAGAGAGCACTTAATGGGTTGAATTAAATGCACTGCCTCTTCTCGATTTGCCTGGATCTTTTGGTCTGTATCTGCACTGCTTAGTGCCCACTGCATTGGACTCTTGAAACGTGGCTAATGTGACTGAGGGACTGAATTTTCTATTTTAATTTTATTTCACTTTAATTGAGTTTAATTTCAGTAGCTGCATGCAGACAGTGGCTACTGCCTTGGACAGCTCAGGTCTGTGTCATAGGTTCTCCAAGAGTTGTTACCTACAACTGAGGGTTGACAAATATACATGCATTTCAACCTTCTTTTCTCCAACACACAGTATTGGGGAACACATAGTTATTTGATGAAAAGTAAGCGATCTACAGTGGGAGGAACTTTTCATTCCCATTAGCTTTCCCTTTAGCCCCCCTGTTCCTCCCCACCCACATCTTGCATGTGTTTGCCAGATAGGTCCTTCAAGCTAGGGGTTAAGCTACTTTTTTCTGTCAAAAATAATAATAATAATAACAAACGCACCTTTGGCATCTTGTCTAAGTTTTGTGTAGTTTCAGGCCTTGAGGGCGTGGTGTTTGCCACATGCCTTCTTGGGCTCTGAAAGGTGAACTAACTGTTGTCTCTCTCACTGTAGAACTCTCTTCCTGCCGAGATGTCTATTGGCGTGCCGATTAAAGTCCTGCATGAGGCTGAGGGTCACATCGTGACATGTGAGACGAACACTGGTGAGGTGTATCGAGGGAAGCTCATTGAAGCAGAGGACAACATGAACTGCCAGGTATCCTGCTTTGCACTTGAGGCTGTGGGGGAAGCTTGCGCCTGTGCCTTGGAGGACAGAAAGATGGTGGTTGGGGGTCTTTTTGAAGTTCTCATTCAGCAGTTATTTACCGAGTGCCTGCTACAGGTACTGGGGATGTGAGTATAAATAAGAGCCATTCGGAAGTTTGGAATATTTAACTTTGTTCTTTGTGTCTCCCAATCCCATAATCATTTTCTCCCATATTTTGGGGACCTGTTTAAGAAAAGTGACACTACCTTGAAGAGGACCATCGGGTTCGGGGCCACTGTTCATTTACCCCATATGTTTGCATAGTGCTTTGCAGTTAGCAGAATCTTCCGCTCACATATTGTGTTTATTGCCATTTTTCTTGGGAGAGGCATCTCATTTGATTGCATTTATAGCAACTATCTTGTGAGGTAAGCAAGTTTGGTGATAGTTTCATCATCCATAAGTTAGGAAGAATAGGGGACTTCCCTGGTGGTCCAGTAGTAAAGAATCCACCTTACAATGCAGGGAATGTGGGTTCGATCCCTGGTCAGGGAACTAAGATCCCACGTGCCATGGGGCAACTAAGCCTGAGCGCTACAACTACTGAGCTCGCATGTCTAAACTAGAGCCCATGTGCCGAAAACTACAGAGCTCACGTGCTCTGGAACCCGTGCACCACAACTAGAGAGAGAAAAGCCACAACGAAAGATCCCGCATGCCGCAACTAAGAACCAACGCAGCCAGAGATAAATTAAATAAATAAATAATAAACCTTAAAAAAAAAAGATAGGAAGAATAAGATTAAAGGACTCATCTACTGAACGTCACTCTGTTAATAAATGTTGGAGCCACTTCTTGATGTGGTGCCCTTCCCATGGCACAGCATTGCTTTTTGTTAATAGTCAGGTGGGTTTGTATGGCATCGCTTTACAAAGTGTAACATAATTTCTCCTTAAGAGCTTGGACTTTGGAATCAGATGTGGCTTTGAATTCTGATTGACCTTGGGCATGTTAATCACCTCAGTTTTCTCATCTGTAAAATGAGAACAGAATTAGTTCTGCAAGAGATTGACTGGGAAAGCTAACAATAAAGGGTAAAGGAGAGGGAGCAGGAGAGCTTTCAGTCTGGGGTGCTGGTCTGACACTGGGGAAAGGAGAGGGGAAAGGAAGGAGGGTTGAGTAGGAATGTATCTCTGAGGAAGTCTCAGCCAGGCAAAGGAAGGTTTCTCATTGGAAGAGTCTAGCATGGGGCACAGGTGGCCTGGCGCTATACCCCCACTGTGGTCAGTCATTGGCTGGCAGCTTGACAAGAGAGTGGCTTCAGGGTGAATGCTGTGGTGGATCCCAGTCCGAGCAGTGCACTCCTAAGACTGCCACTGGGGTAATAGCCCCACCCCAGGGCTGTTCTGAAGATCAGATGAGAGAGAGAGAGAAAGAGAGAGAGAGATGGAGATGTGTGTGTGAGAGAGATGGAGATGTGTGTGTGTGTGTGTGTGTGTGTGTGTGTGTGTGTGTGGCAGGCAACTAGCTCAGCGCCTTGCACATTGTAAATGTCAACATATGGTACCTGTTGATATTTTCTAGGTGAGAAAACTGAAGGTCAGAGAGGTGAGGTGACTTACCCAAGGTCATATTGCAGGACAGGTGTCCTAAGTATCCATTGTTTCACAGGGTTCATTGGTTTATTTGTAATTTCTCTGTAGGTTTGAGCATCCTCTTCCTGCCAGGTTGACCAGCTTGGGGTTCCCTCGTGTTTGGGGAAATAGACATCTGTTGACTGCAGGTTTCTCTCCTCGGTGTTAACGCCACAGAGGTGGGTGGGTGGCCTCTCTGCAGGTCTGGTGGGGCCAGGCCTCCTTTGCCTTCATGAGGTATGGCTGTCATAGGTCCAGTCCTCTGGCTGAAGGCATCCTCATCCATTTTAAGGTGCTTCAGTTTGGTGAGTAGAATGCAAGACTAGGATAGGGAATCTTTGTCTGTTTATTCAGCTGTTTATTTGGATAGCTTTCTGAGTTTGCAGAGCTTCAGACTTCCCATCTATAACGTGAAGGTAAGGTGTCTGACCGGGTGCCCTTGGTGTTCTCTCTAATGGTAGCCAGTGTGAAGTAAAGCACACAGACCCTGTGATGGATCTGGAATCATTGTAGCCTGCCACCTGGTGTGTGACTTGTCGTGAGCTTTGGACCTCCCTCACCCTCTGTTCCCTCCTTTCTAAATCAGGGATAAAAATAGCACCTCAGCCTCAGGACTGTAGTGCAGAATAAATGAGCCGTTGCATGTCAGACAGTGGGGGCCTGCCACCTCCTTCCACCTGTGTTAATCTGCTAGGGCTGCCATAACAGAGTCCTATGCTGGGTGGCTTAAACAACAGAAATTTATTCTCAGGGTTCTGGAGGCTAGAAGTTCGAGATCAAGGTGTTGCAAGGTTGGTTCTTCTGAGGGCCGTGAGGGAAGGATCTATTCCAAGCCTCTCTCCTTGGCTTATAGATGGCTGTCTTCTTCCTTTTTCTTCATGTGGTCTTCCCTCTGTGTGTGTCCGTATCATAATCTCTTCTTATAAGGACATAAGTCATATTGGACTAGTGCCCAGTTACCTCTGTAAAGATCCAGTCTTGAAATACAGTCACATTGGTGGGGGCTAAGACTTCAATATATGAATTTGGGGGGTGGGTACAGCCTGTTACCCTGCGCATGCCAAGATTCGAGGCCTCACGGGGTATAGCGAAACCTGGCGCATTGGATAGACCCCAGCAGGCTGTGGCGGAGCTGAGCCCACTGTGATGAGCACCCAGCACAGTTGACTCACGTGTCCCTGGGCTGGGAGGCCGATGGTGCCTGCTGTTCTCCTTTCTTCCTAGTCCCAGTAAGTCTGCCCTTTGGGGATGAGAGTGTCCTCTTGGCTCTCTCTCTGCTTGTTCTTTGCTAGAGGGCAGCTGGAGTTCAGTGTTTGCCATTTGATGTTGGGTTTTAATAA